TTTGTGCAATGAACAGTGAATTTCATAATTTTTGAATATTTTGCTAGAAAAGATTTGAATTCAAACTAGGAGTTTGGGAGGGTTTCACTAGGGTTTAGAGTATAGCAAAACTCCACTAATAATAGAGTAAGCTAAAGAAATAATCTATGGTTTGAATTTGAGAGAATTTGCTCAAATTCACTAGGGTTTAGAATAAAGGGAATAATTAGGGTAAATTAGTAGGACTCTAATACTTGAACAAGTTTTAAATCAAATAGATTTTTAAACCAAACAAATTTAATCAAAAGCTAGCATGATGCAGTCAAATTTTTAGTTTTAAAATTTGAGGATGTTACAGCTATCCATTTGATTTAGCGAGTCAAAGTCGTTGCTCGCTTCAACAGCCTCTCTATCTACCCTCTCCATTACAATTCTATGACAAATGGGACCCATATGTTATATCTATTAACCTTCTTCCTCCATTTCCTCCCTATTTTCCCCGCTCATACTACTGCCTCCTCCCCCACACCCTCTCCTTTGATGCGGCGACGGCGGGCGTGCGAGGCGACGGGCTGCAGCGAGCGGCGGGGCGATGGACTACAACAAGCGGCGAGGCGGGCGGAGGTGGGGCGACGGGTGGAGGTGAGGCGGCAGGGCGATGGGCGGCATCTCAATGGGCGGCGTGACGACGGCTACGACGAGCGGAGGCCGGCAGGCTGCAGCGAGCGGCGGGGTAGGCGGTGGCCGACTGTTGACAGGAAACACGAGGCCTGGGAGATCTGCTTAACTCCAGTGCAGGTTCAAAACTCGCCTTCGGATGTATGAGCGTGCCAGTTGATTTGATCCTGCAATCAACAAGAAACAAAGACAAAGAAACCGTGATCAAATCCATAAATGATAGCCGATCAGCTAAATACCGATGACACATCATTTATCTTTGAGCCGATGTCATATGTAAATCGATCGGCAAGTGTTAAGTAAACAAATCAAAACTAAATCTATTCGATCGGCTGTAGATATCAATAATATATAATCCTTATATCGATATATACTTGAGTCAAGTGATTGGGATAGATCGGTCACCTTGCCGAGACAGTATAAATCACTTAGATCGAAATACATATTAATAATGAGATTATATATATATTCATAGCATAGCCGATCAAGTAGATCTAGCATGTATCGGCTAATACTCCGATACCGCTTCGTGTTAAGATATTAAAGCAAATAGAATATACCAAACATAAGCCTAATATACTTAAATGCAATAAGATCTTAATATAAAGGGCAGATCTAACATGTCAATCGATCATATAGGATAAAAGCAGTTAGATCAGATAAGATCGGCTGTAACTCCGATACTACCCTAATCGGCAACTAGTAGGCAGGCTAGAGATTGAAATTCTAAGCACGACTTAATAGATCAAACTCAACTGATACAGCATTAAGTATGAAAAGAAGAACAATATCTAGACAATCAAGCCGCTGGATGTTTCATAAAGTGGTGGATATCTCATATAATCTAAGCCAACGTCGTTATTTAACCTAATCGGCTGCCTTCTAGTAACAGATGTTAGCCGATTGTAGGTTAGATGACGATATTGTCAAGAATTATGCAAGATATATGATAACTTGACAGATTACATAAACAAGATTAGAGTATCATAAGGATGGAAGCACTAATCTTGAGAACACAAACCGCCATAACAAGTTTTACCTCTTGTTGAAGATCGAAACCGATGCAGCTCAACCCGAAAGCAAGAACTCGTCGAAATAAAGCAAAAAGGGTGGCGATGCGCCGAAATTGTATTGAACATGTGTGTCCTTTTTTTTACATAGGGCTCGGGGTCTATTTATACCCGAGAATTATAAGATATGTCCATATTGGACACGACTCTTATCCCTAACAAACTCTAAGATACCATAAGTCTTTGCGGCAGACTTTTGCCCACATTTATCTCTAAGGAATTTACATAAATATCCTAATTAATAGATACAACTGCCTTTCCAGGACTCTATCCATGCATGGCAATCATCTTGAAGCACATCAATTCAAACCCGATGTCGTACACAAGTCATATTATCGGAATCGGCTGTATCACTTAACTCAACCCGACTCAAACCTAGCCGATCCCAATCGTAGCCGATCCGGACTCCAGCCGATTCTTACTCTGTTTCCGCAACAACCCTTATCTTCGATTCCACTTCGACCCCATCTTCATCTCCGATGCTGATATTACCAAATTTGGTCGTTAACACCAACGGCTACAGCGGGCTACGGCGAGCGGCGGGGCGGGCGCCGTCTTCACCTCCTGTAGCAATGCTCCTCCCCATGTCTCATCGCCTAGTTGCCATGCTCGAGCTCGCCGCCTCTCGTAGCAGTGTGCCGGCGTCGAGATTGGGTGGGAAAGAGACAGATGCAAGAGAGAGAGGGGGTGGAGGAGATTGGTAGTGTGGGGCCCACCATTGGCCAGCCAAATAGACTGGCCAAATTTAGCTAGCAAGGAGGAGGATTTGGCCAGCTAAATAGCTTGACCAGTGAGTTGGAGAGGCTGTTGGAATATGGTTTTTTTAGAATAGGTAAAATTTAACTTGAAGAGTCAATTGGAGAGGCAGATGGATATGCTCTTAATATACTACTACTAAATAGGAGCGAGATGTAGCGGCCATATTGTTTTGCTGCCATTGACCGTCAAGTTGAATGGGTTTACTTTTCCCTGCGACGGTTAATTCTCTTCTAGTAACAAAGAACAAGTTGATCGGGTTTTCTTTTCGTTGGGATGGTCAGTGGCAGCAAAACAATTTGGCATATCTTGGGTTGGTGTACCTGGCCTGATCCATTTGGTCTTTGGCTTCAATAAACTAATAGGAGCATTTGGCCTAGTGCTTGCATACGACGCGTACATGCCAACATAAATCTTCTGAAATATTTCAATTAACTAGTCCTAGGTGCATGATGGTGGTCCCTGGTCGGTGGTCAAGCTTTAGCTTCATATTGTTGTTTTGATATTGAAAAGGAAAGGGACTGTCTACTCCTCATTTGACAGAAAACTCCTCCTAGTATCTTGCAAATTTCAGACCATTGGATTGATTTAAGATTTGTGCGAAGTCCACAAAACCCTAACCAGTTTTTCTTTTTTCTCTCTGCCGCCGCACAACGGCACAAGTCACTCGAGCCTCGAGAGCTCCCCTCCTCTCAGCACCGTACACCTCCTGCACCGCCGCCGTCGTCCCACCTGGCCTCGCCGGCTGGTCAAAAGGTGTTAACGGCGCTGACAAGCCCCCCAGGCTAACCCCCTCCCTCTCCCTTTCCCCCTCCCTCTCCTCTCCAGTGGCGGCGAGCTGTCCCGTGCCGCCGTCTTCCCCGTTGCCGGTGGTGGGGCGCCACCACCGGCCGCCTCCACCTAACACTCTTTCCGCTTGCCCCCGCCACTTACACCGGCCCACCGCCCGCTCCCGTCCCCGCAGTTTCAGCGGCGGCGAGCTGTCCCGTGCCGCCGTCTTCCCCGTTGCCGGCAGCGGGGCGCCACCACCGGCCGCCTCCACCTAACACTCTTTCCGCTTGCCCCCGCCACTTACACCGGCCCCCCGCCCGCTCCCGACCCCGCGGTTTCAGCGGCGGCGAGCTGTGCCGCCGTCCTCCCCGTTGCCGGCGGCGGGGCGCCACCACCGGCCGCCTCCTCCTACCACTCTTTCCGCTTGCCCCCACCACTTACACCGGCCCACCGCCCGCTCCCGACCCCACGGTTTCGGCGGCGGCGCCGCCGCCCACCGCCGGTCTGCCGCCTCCCACGGCCATCCCTCTAAAGCCTGTGAACTCCCCCCTCTTCCTCCCACCCCCACCCCGGGACCCTAATTCGTCGACCCTCTGCCGGATTTTGGGTTGTCGCCGGCGCCGTAAAAGAAGAGGTCGCCGGAGTTGGAGAAGATGCAACTGGAGCACGAATCGCGAAGCATATCCAGTGGTCCAAAATATGCAAGATTTGGGGTCGTATTTTCTATCGACAGAAGTATAGCCGATTCCGTTTTTACAAGAGTGGAGCACTTATTATGGTCAGCTTGAGTAGCGAGACATAAGCGAGAGAGAAACAGACATGGATTTTCTACACCTAGGTATAATCACACCTATTATTTGCATGTCGTCTAAACATTTATAGGAAAAAAAAAATATCTGGTTAGATTGAGTGTCGTGTAATAATCGTACCCACTTGCTGCTTGATTTGCCCCAGAACCTTCATATCCTTGATCCTTCCCATTAAAGTGCAGTGAAGTACACTGATAGTGGGCGTAAGGGCCTATAGCCTAATGGTTATAAGAGTCTCAATAGTAATTTAGGCCCTAGATTCGACTTCTCATGGAAACGAATTTTTCAGAAATTAACGACTTTGTGCTTTCAGTAGTAGGCGACGTACCCATCGATAGCGAACCACTCCAGGATGGATGTGTAATTCTCAAAAAGTAGACTGATAGTGGAACGGAAGGAATTTGTGGGTGCGACGCCGAAGGCCGGAGTCCCTCCCTCCCTCCTATGGCCGGCCTGACCATGCTGGCGTTCCATGCATGATGACATGGCCCTCCCCAACATCTCCCGCCTTCTCATTGAGGATGACATCCAAAATCCACACCCTGTAACCATTCGACGATGAACCGCCTAGTGAAGTCAGGCATTGTCAAACACCACCAGAGACATGGGCAATTCTCTAAAAATCTATCGATTGTGAAACTTAAAATCTTGAAATAAACTTAAAAAGTGTACAAGTTGGATGAATTTCACGAGACAAGAGCTTTAGAGATCGATTATATATTGTGTAAATTAAAGCAAGAGTTGAGGAGCTGCGTCTTGATGCTGTCGTCTTCCTGGAACCTGCCTGCCTGCCTTTCATGATCCATCCATCCATCCATGTCTCATGTGATTGGTGTCTCCCTCGTCCCCTCCACGCAACACACAGACACCCATCATCGCCTCCACTCTCTTCCCCTCCATCCAAAGTACCTGGAGAGAGTGGAGGCATCGGGAGGCCATGGCTGCCGCGCCGAAGCCGGAGGAACTCGTCGTCGCCATCGAGCAGCCATTCTCCCCGTCGCTCTTCCTGGACCTGCCCCCGACGCCGCACCACGATGACGACCCCAACAATGTCAATGACGACCTCCTCCTCCCCTTCATCTCACGCATCCTCATGGAGGACGACATCGACGACAAGTTCTTCTACCAGTTCCCCGACCACCCCGCCCTCCTCCAAGCCCAGCAGTCTTACGCCCAAATCCTCCATGCCCCTGCCACATCTTCTTCCTCCGACGACACCACCATCAACAACAATACGACCAACTCCACCTCCGTCCCCGACACGCTCGCCATGCCCGACCACGACGCCGACACCCAGAGCGCGCCGGACGACATGGAGATGCTCTACATGGCGTTCCTCAAGGGCAGGGAGGAGGCCACCAAGTTCCTGCCCACAAACAACACCCTCTTCTCTGGCTTCAAGGCAGAGCCGGTGCTGGATATTCAACCCACCTTCACGTTCGGACCAAGCGGCGGCGGCAGGGGCCGGAAGAACAGGCACGCCGAGGAGGACGACCTGGAGACGGAGACCAGCAGGAGCAGCAAGCTGATGGCGCCAGAACATGACGACGCCGCCGCCGCCGACGAGATATTCGACGAAATAATTCTCAATGGGTACCAGATGATCATTAAGGGGATAGATGAGCTGCGCGTCGCCATGGGCAGCCAGAGCCAGGCCGACAAGAACGGCCGAAGAGCGTCACGCGCGAAGACGGCGGTGGTCGACCTACACACCCTGCTCATCCACTGCGCGCAGGCTGTGGCGACGGGAGACTGGCGGAGCGCCACCGAGCTGCTGAAGCAGATCAAGCAGAACTCGTCGGCGAGAGGGGACGCGACGCAGAGGATGGCGTGCTGCTTCGCTGAGGGGCTAGAGGCGCGTCTCGCCGGAACGGGGAGCCAGATGTACCAGTCGCTCGTCGCGAAGCGCACGTCGACGGTGGACTTCCTCAAGGCGTACAAGCTGTTCACGGCGGCCTGCTGCATCAAGAAAGTGAGCGTCATCTTCTCGAACAAGACCATCTACAACGCCGTCGCCGGGAGGCGCAAGCTGCACATCGTCGACTACGGCCTCAGCTACGGATTCCAGTGGCCAGCTTTGTTCTTTTTGCTGGGAGCCAGGGAAGGCGGACCGCCGGAGGTGAGGATGACCGGCATCGACGTCCCGCAGCCTGGGTTCCGGCCAGCCGACCAGATCGAGGAGACAGGCCGCCGGCTGAGCATCTGCGCGCGCCAGTTCGGCGTGCCATTCAAGTTCCGCGCCATTGCCGCAAAGTGGGAGACGGTCCGCCGCGAGGACCTCCATCTCGACCCAGAAGAAGAAGAAGAGGAGGTGCTCGTCGTGAACTGCCTCCATGGATTGAACACCCTGCAAGACGAGAGCGTGGTCGTGGACAGCCCGAGCCCCAGAGACGTGGTGCTCGACAACATCCGCGACATGAGGCCTCACGTGTTCGTCCAGTGCGTCGTCAACGGCGCGTACGGTGCGCCCTTCTTCGTGACGCGCTTCAGGGAGGCTCTCTTCTTCTACTCGGCGCACTTCGACATGCTGGACGCCACCATCCCGCGCGACAACGACGATCGGCTGCTCATCGAGCGGGACATGTTGGGGCGATGCGCCCTCAACGTCATCGCCTGCGAGGGCGCAGACAGAGTTGATCGGCCGGAGACGTACAAGCAGTGGCAGGTGCGCAACCATCGCGCCGGGCTGAGGCAGCTGCCATTGGAGGCTGAGGTGGTTGAGCTTGTGAGGGGCAAGGTGAAAAGCCTCTATCACAAAGACTTCGTCATCGACGTGGATCACAATTGGCTGCTGCAGGGATGGAAGGGACGGATACTGTACGCCATGTCCACATGGGTTGCTCATCATCCATGATCACAAATCCCCCCCCCCCCCCCCCTCTTTTAGCTCACTTCAATTACCTTCTTCTGCTTGATGAATTGTTTACACATTGAGATCTAGTCTAGTTATAGTACATGATAGACTGTTTTATTTGCACTGTAAATTAGATGCACGGTTAGAGCTACATTAGATTTTCTTTTTTTGGTATATGTTTGTGTGGATGCACTCAAAAAGTTGTGAAATCTGTTCTTCCAAAAAGTTCAGTTTCAATTCTGATTGTTGGGATTTCAAATCAGATAACAGTTAGCAGTGCATATTAACAAAAATAAATAGTGCGTGGGGTATTCAAAGTATATGTCTGCTGTCCGCAAAATAAAACATGTCATACATTCCCCCCTGTTTCCCACAGGATTCACTTCCGCAGGCAGTTCTTGCTGGATATCCTTGTATTTCAGTCAGACAAGTACATCAAAAGGGAGGAGGGGGGGTTGTTCACCAGATTCAACGAGTGTTATTTTTCTGCCATTTTTGTGGAGAGTTGATGACAGCTGGGACTTGATCTGTGACATACTCCCTCCATACTTATAAAGGAAGTCGTTTAGGACAATGTTTAAGTCAAACCTTAGGAATATAAATCATAAAAGTTGTTGAGTTTGAAAATATAAAAAACTATATGAATAGATTTATCTTGAAAAATACCTTCATAAATATACATATATCACTTTTCAATCAATATTTTTATAGAAAAAGAAGTCAAAGTTGTGTTTTGGAGACCGTGTCGCTGTCCTAAACGACTTCCTTTACGAGTACGGAGGGAGTAGGAGTATTATGTGAAATTGACATTGATGATTCCAAATAAAAAAAATGGCTCCTTACCTTGCAACAATAAATTATATGGAAGGTGAACTTCGACGAAGTTCAGGATGTTATATAAATCTTGATCATACCTGAGAAAGGTCCACTAGTTAGAAATCTTCAAATCTGTTGTATGATAGATAGTCAACTGTTGGTCCATGGCTTCATCTGTTAGGAGTGCTTAGTATTTTAAGATGAACATTGAGTTTTCAACGCACACCGGCACACGGCACACTGAACATTAGGCTTCAAAGTTTACCAGCTTTCCTTACAAATTCTTGTAGTACTACATATTTCTCGGTAGTGTTCCTTTGTTTACTGGAATAGCAGGTCTGAAATACTGCTAGTTTGGTTCATCATTCCATGTGCTGATATGGTTTGATAATTACAGACTGATGGAGTTTGATCTGTCCTTTTTCGTTAGGTGACTAGGAGTATGTCTTTTGCTATGTCCTTGAAGCATCTGCTTGTATATTTTAGCCATGACTTCTGGAGGTTTAGGTAGTAGGACCGTAGGAGTAATTCAGTAATAACTAGATAGTAGCAGTTAATATACTAGTCCTAAATAGGAGCAGGATATAATTTGTTGAGTTGCTTATGGAGAAGAAGTTGTTTTCAATAAGAGGGAACAAGTTGATTAAGTTTCCCGATTGCTTGGGACGGTCAATAGCAGCAAACGATTTGGCATACTAGTACCAGTAGTATAATATATAGAAGTATATTGGGTTGGTGCAACTTCGTCCATTTTGTCATTGGCTTCAATAAAACTAGTTGTAGTACAGTGGTTGCATAAATAAGTATTTCAGTAAATTAGTCCTAGGTGCACCATGATAGTGGTGAATTTAAAATAAAGCTTCAGATTCATACTGGTATTGTAGTTGCTTTTAATTTGGTCTTGAAAAGAAAACCAAACCAAACCTGCGACACAGGCAGGCAGCTAGAGGGTAGCTGCTCTGCTCGATCCATTCCATTCCATGCCGCCGCCCTCCTTCCCATCATCCTTAATCCTTCAATTTAATTGCACTTGATTAATAGCTAGTGATAGTGGAAGGAACTGGTAGGCAATGGCTACCACGCCGGAGGCGGCGGAGTCCCTCCGATTCCGATGGCCGGCAGCGGAGGAGGAGTTCGACAACGACATGGTCCTCCCCTACATCTCCCGCCTCCTCATGGAGGACGACGTCCACGACCACTTCTTCTACCAGTACCCCGACCACCCCGCCCTCCTCCGCGCCCAGCAGCCATTCGCCCAGATCCTCGCCTCCTCCCCCTCCTCCGCCGCCGGCGCCTCGTCGTCGTCCTCCTCCTCCGATGCCCCGCCCAGCCGCCCCTTCTTCGATGACGAGGCGGCCACCGCCAAGACTTTCCCCACTGCTGCGGTCCACAGCGTTGACCACCAGTACTCCGGCGGCCTCGACATGGTCAACATGGCGTTCCTCAAGGGCATGGAGGAAGCCAACAAGTTCCTGCCCACCAACACCCTCCTCCTCTCGACCGACTCTTCTACTACCTTGCAGTTGCAGGTTCAGGGTGAGGTAGTCGTCGACGGACATGGAATGCTCGGGGGGGTCGGGGGAGCAGCTGCAGCTCATGCTCATGGTGCAATCAACAGCAAGAAAGTCAACTGCAGGGACGACGACTTGGAAGCTGGCACTGGCAGGGCCACCAAACTGATGGCGCCCGAGCCGGAGCTGGAGGAGGAAGGTGCACGCCAGATGTTCGACGAAATGATGCTCCAGGAGCACGAGATTTGCATGAAGGGGGTGAAGCAGCTGAGCCTCAAGTCCAAGAGCAGCAGCAGCAAGAAGGCGCGGGGGAGACGCACTGTGATCCACACCGAGCCGGTGGACCTGCACAACCTGCTGCTCCACTGCGCGCAGGCGGTGGCCACGGACGACCGCCGGAGCGCGCACGAGCTGCTGAGGCAGATCAAGCAGCACTCGTCGGCGTGGGGAGACGCCGGACAGAGGCTGGCGCACTGCTTCGCGCAAGGGCTGGAGGCCCGGCTCGCCGGCACGGGGAGCCAGGTGTACCAGTCGCTCATGTCGCAGCGCACCTCCGTGGTCGACTTCCTCAAGGCGTACCGGCTGTACATGGAAGCCTGCTGCTGCAAGAAGGTGGCCTTCGTCTTCTCCAACAAGACCATCTACGACGCCGTCGCCGGGAGGCGCAAGCTGCATATCGTCGACTACGGCCTCAGCTACGGGTTCCAGTGGCCTGGGTTGCTGCGCGAGCTCGCGGCACGGAGAGGCGGCCCACCGGAGGTGAGGATCACCGGCATTGACCTACCTCAGCCGGGATTCCGCCCTGACCAACACATCGAGGAGACCGGGCGGCGGCTGAGCAGGTACGCCGACGAGCTCGGCGTGCCGTTCAAGTTCCACGGCATCGCGGCGACGAAGAAGGAGAGCGTGAGGCGGGAGGAGCTGGGCGAGGCGGAGGAAGACGAGGTGGTGGTGGTGATCAGCCTGTGCCATTTCAGGAACGTGATGGACGAGAGCCTGCAGGAGGACAGCAGCAGGAGCCCCAGGGACGAGGTGCTGGGGAACATCCGCAGGATGCGCCCCGACGTGTTCATCCATGGCATCATGAACGGAGCCTACGGCGCGACCTACTTCCTGACACGCTTCCGGGAGGCTCTCTACTACTACGCGGCGCAGTTCGACCTGCTGGACGCGACGGTGGGGCGGGAGAGCCACGAGCGGATGCTGGTGGAGCGGGACATCTTCGGGCGGGCGGCTCTGAACGTGATCGCCTGCGAGGGCGCGGAGCGGGTGGAGCGGCCGGAGATGTACAAGCAGTGGCAGGCGAGGAACCAGCGCGCGGGGCTGAGGCAGCTGCCGCTGAATCCGCAGGTTGTGAGGCTGGTGCTGGACAAGGTGAGGGACAAGTACCACAAGGACTTCGTGGTGGACGAGGATCAACGCTGGTTGCTGCACAGGTGGAAGGGCCGCGTGCTCTACGCCTTGTCCACTTGGGTTGCCCAACACTAGCTCTTAGCCTCTTACCAATTATTTATACCAATTTTCAGATATGCACATCATAAGTACAACCATGTCTATGATCGATGTGGACCATGGTTGAGTAAACCCTATTGTATGTTTCTTGTATCACATTTTTGCTCCTCCTTGGTCATGGTGACCACTGACCACTACCTGATTTACTACTCCAGTTAATCCTATAAATAAATAAAATGGCCATAGAGGAGGAGGACCTCAACATGGAGACAGCCTTCCCTGATGAGGTACTCACGGTCAATGACCTTTTCAATTTCAGGATCTTAATGGACGAGAGTGTACGTTGTCACAGACAGCAGGAGTGCCCTGGGAAATCGTCCTCGACACAATACTAACATAGGCCATGTTTAGATCACACCAAACTTCCCCCAAAGTCCCAACTTTCCATCACATCCAAAACTTTCCTACTCACATAAACTTCTAACTTTTTTTCCAAACTACCAACTTTCCCCAAACTTCTCTCCAATTTCAGAAACTAAACACAGCCATATGGAAGATATGCAGCTGGACGTGTTTGTCCAAGGCATTGTAAATGGCTCCCAAGGCATCACCTTTCTTGTCACGCACCCGAGAGCCAACTGCGGTTGGTGCTGGAGCAGGACATCTTTGGATGGGATGCCCATGAACGCAATTGCCTGTGAAGGAGGGAAGGACCGGGTGGGCATACAAGCAGTGGCAAGTCAGGAACCAACAGGCAGGCTTTAGGCGAATTAATTTTGAAAAATATATTGTCTATTCTTTTTTCTCAGAAATACTCAGGATACAATTTTTTTGGCACAAATATAAAGTCGATATCGCTGAACCGTTGTGCGAAAATGATAAAAATGTGACAACACGGATGGTCTTGAACAGCGACGGCGCAAGACTGCTCGGGCTCACATGGCGCGGGTGTGAGACCGAGCGGTCTCGCACGGCAAAACAGCAACAACGTTTTGGAAATAGATTAATTATCCGATTAGCGATTAATTAACAATAATAAGTGATTAATAATTAATTAATCGCTAATCAACTAATTAATCAATTAGAATGTCGGTCTCGCTGTTTGGCCATCCATCCGCGTGATACAGAGCAGTCTTGCTCCGTCGCCACATGACACCATGCGAGACTGTCCACGTCATCATGCCCTCGTCATTTTTGCGCGACGATTCAGTGATATCGACGGTATATTTGTGCCAAAAAATTATTGCATCTCAGATATTTTTGGGGAAAAATTAAATGGAACAGTATATTTTCAAATTTAATTTGGCTTGAGGCAGCTGCCCTAGAACAGGGAGGAAATTATGATGGTTAAGAAACACTACCACAAGGATTTTGTCATTGAGGAGGATCAATAGTGGCTTCTTCAGGGCTGGAAGAGCCGCATCCTCTTTGCCCACTCAACATGGGTTGCACATGACTAGTCCAGTTCTCGCTGTCAGCATTCCCTCTACAATGGCGGATATATCCCCTTCAAAAAAAATACATATAATAACTTTGTATTCCCATGCAAAAAAAAAACATATATATTTAACTGTGTGTTGATACGGGGTAACAAGTATTTTTTTTTCATGTTCTAAAATTAATGTTTCCAAGGATAGTCATGTTGAACAGGTAAAGAAAAATAAAAACGAAGGACGTATATTATTACCTTGTCTGCATTCTCAAAGCAACCTTGGAGTAATCTCCATTTCCATGTCCTATTTGTACTAGGTTATTGGAATCATCACACATTAGGTTGGAGTTATGGACAGGGTATTTGCTCCTGCCTCATGATATGACGAGCAAGAGCAAAGGCTACCACCATTGAATGATTATCAGCATGGCCAACCCAGAGGATTTCTTTTGGGAGGCCCTCCTCAAGGAGAACGAAGCACCATCCCCATCACCTGTCTTCTTTGAACTCCCCCCAACACCCCTCGCCAACAGTGATGGCAGTACAGATCCCTCGTCATTGTTGGACAACCAACTTCTCTCCTACGTCACTAGTATGCTCATGGAGGATGAGATGGGTTCTTCTGCTGCTGTCACCAACTTGCAGTGTGTCAACAGGGGCAGCACAGAGGAGGCCAACAATATGTTGCCGGGCAGTGAAGTGGTTAGGGCGTTCTTGAAGGGCATGGAAGAGGCCAGCAAGTTGCTGCCTAGAAACAACAGCTTCAGAATGCTGGAGACGGTGGATCAAGTATCAAGTCATGGTCATTGTAGGGGAGGAAAGAAGAAAAACCATGACAGGGATGAGCAGCAGCTGGAGGAGGAACTGGGGAGGAGCAGTAAATTAGCTGCCATGACGAATGCAGGGACGGAGGAGGCTGGTGCTCGCGAGTTGCTGGACGAACTGATGCTGCACTCGCACGAGACATGCATCAAAGACATGGAGAAGCTGCGCATCGACATGGACAATGAGGCAGATAAGACCATCAAAAAGAAGGGCAAGAAAGGCAGTAGTAGCAAGGTGGTGGACTTACGGATGCTGCTGATCCAGTGTGCACAGGCCATGGCGACAGACAACCAGCAATCTGCAGGCGAGCTGCTGAAGAAGATCAAGCAGCACGCTTTGGCAACAGGCGACGCCATGCAGCGAGTGGCTCACTACTTCGCCAAGGGGCTTGAGGCACGGCTAGCTGGCAGCGGGAAGCATCTGTATCAGAATCATGTGCGCATGTCGTTGGTGGAGTACCTCAAGGTGTACAAGCTCTACATGGCAGCCTGCTGCTTCAAGAAGGTGGCGCTCATGTTTGCTGCCATGACAATCATGCAAGCTGTGCAAGGGAAGAAGAGGCTGCACATAGTTGATTATGGCATACGCTGTGGGCTGCACTGGCCAGACCTGTTCCGCCGGCTGGGGAGCAGGGAAGACGGGCCGCCAGAGGTGAGGATCACCATCGTTGACATCCCCCAGCCTGGGTTTCGTCCATTTCAGCGTATTGAGGCGGCAGGGCATTGCCTGAGCAGCTGTGCCAATGAGTTCCGCGTGCCATTCAGATTCCAAGCTGTTGTAGCAGCAAAGTGGGAGACGGTTGGTGCCGAGGACCTGCACATCGAGCCTGATGAGGTGCTTGTGGTGAATGACCTCTGGAGTTTCAGTGCTCTGATGGACGAGAGTATCTTCTGCGATGGGCCAAACCCCAGGGATGTTGCCCTCCGTAACATCAGCAAGATGCAGCCAGACGTGTTCATCCAAGGCATCATCAATGGTGGCTATGGTGCCTCCTTCCTGTCACGCTTTCGTGGAGCGCTCTTGTATTACTCGGCTCTGTTTGACATGCTGGACGCCACCACCCCAAGGGAGAGTGGGCTGCGGCTGGCGCTGGAGCAGAACGTTCTGGGGCCTTATGCCCTCAACGCCATCGCCTGTGAGGGTGCAGACCTGGTGGAGCGCCCTGAGAAGTACAGACAGTGGCAGGCCAGGAACCACCGTGCAGGCATGCAGCAGCTGAAACTGAGACCAGATATCGTTGATACAATCAGGGAAGAGGTGAACAAGTACCACCATAAGGACTTTCTGCTGGGAGAGGACGGGCAGTGGCTGCTGCAGGGATGGATGGGGCGAGTCCTCTTTGCTCACTCCGCATGGGTGCCACAACAACAAGACAATTCCTCCGGATGACTGTTTGGTTTTTTTTTTCTTTTCTTCTTTTTCTGCATAAAAAATGCAAGTTAGTAGACTTATCTTTGGACATGAAAAGTGCATCGTGTGCACAGAATGTTACAGCGATTTGCATTTTAGCAGCCTGGCAAGTTTCTTTAATTATGAACGTGCTAGTATTGTCAACATGTAGAGCAAGGACACCTAGAGTAATACTTACCAGTACTAGAAGTACTTTGATTGCTCCAGTTGCAACATGACCTGTTTATTTTCCTTGTAACAGCCATCAGCCGTATAATATGCCAACAAGGAGGAGAAGGTGGGTAATGAATCCAAGCCAAGCATGGAAAACATCAAACCCTGTTCTCAGCAAAACTAAAACACCACCATGCTATCAATCACCAGGAAAATTGTTGGGTATGAATGGGTTGAAGGAATTGATGCCTCCATCCTTTTCCGTCCTCTTCGGCCTTACCAAGAGCATCACAAGAAAATGCAAATTAGAAAAATGAATAATACTGGAATAGTGCTGCTGCATATTATGGTTGTATTCTGCACTTGCCTGGATTTTGCCTCTACAGACTGCAGTCTACAGACATTATGTGTTGAGTCCTTTCAACTTGAAGAATTGACTGAGAACAGTAACATAGTTCAGGGTGAAGTTGTTAAGTTTCCTTGCACCTGCCCTTTTTACAATGATTTGACATCTGCACATATTTATCTGTCAAACAGCTTGGATTGAATTTGCAAATTGCCTTTGCATTATGAGAATATACAATACCCAGGTCACAGGCTACATCATTCACTATGTTACATGGTCCTCAGCTACATCATTCAATCAGATAAGACTGGTGTAGTTTTGGCTGCTTCCTTGTATCAATGCAATAGAGTCCTCTGTTCTCCATCAAATTATATTTAATGATCATTGCTTCTTTAGATAGGACAAGGGAAGAAGTGGCTCCAAAACCAAGATTTGCAGATTGTTAAGGATCAAAGAAACATTGAGGAATGGAAGGGCCAAGCCATCAGTACCACAAGGTACCAGTGCTCCTAGCCTATCAGATTAAAATTCTATACTATTATTGTGCTAATACAACAGGATTCCAGGGTATACAATTCCTCAGCGGTACTGATAAACCAGCACAATTGTTAGTAAAGACATGGTTTCCAAGTTCATAGTAGAAAGTCAATTACCAGTTATCACAACAATCCTCCTGGTAGAAATTCTGAACATCTGATCACCTTCTCAACATGGCATGAGTCGATACTATTGTAAACAAATTAATCAATTTGAATGTCGGTCTCGCTGTTTGGCCATCCGCGTGACACAAAGCGGTCTTGCTCCATCACCTCATGACACCGTGCGAGACCGTCCACGTCGTCATGCCCTCGTCATTTTTGCGCGACGGTTCAGTGATATCGACGGTATATTTGGGCCAAAAAAATATTGCATCTCGGATATTTTTGGGGAAAAAATAAATGAAACAATATATTTTCAAATTTAATTCGGGTTGAGGCAGCTGCCCTTGAACAGGGAGAAAGTTATGATGGTTAAGAACCACTACCACAAAGATTTTGTCATTGAGGAGGATCAATAGTGGCTTCTTCAGGGCTGGAAGGGCCGCATCCTCTTTGCCCACTCAACATGGGTAGCACATGACTAGTCCAGTTCTCCCTGTCAGCATTCCCTCTACAATGGCGGATATATCCCCTTCAAAAAAATATACATATAATAACTTTGTATTCCCATGCAAAAAAAACATATATATTTAACAGTGTGTTGATACGGAGTAACAAGTATTTTTTTTCATGTTCTAAAATTAATGTTTTCCAAGGATAGTCATGTTGAACAGGTAAAGAAAAATAAAAACAAAGGACGTATATTATTACCTTGTCTGCATTCTCAAAGCAATCTTGGAGTCATCTTCATTTCCATGTCCTGTTTGTACTAGGTTATTGGAATCATCACACACTAGGTTGGAGTTATAGACAGGGTATTTGCTGCTGTCTCATGATATGGCGAGCAAGAGCAAAGGCTACCACCATTGAATGATTATCAGCATGGCCAACCCAGAGGATTTCTTTTGGGAGGCCCTCCTCAAGGAGAACGAAGCACCATCCCCACCACCTGTCTTCTTTGACCTCCCCGCAACACCCCTCTCCAACAGTGATGGCACAGATCCCTCATCATTGGACAACCAACTTCTCTCCTACGTCTCTCGTATGCTCATGGAGGATGAGATGGGTTCTTCTGCTGCTATCACCAACTTGCAGTGTGTCAACAGGGGCAGCACAGAGGAGGCCAACAATATGTTGCCGGGCAGTGAAGTGGTTAGGGTGTTCTCGAAGGGCATGGGAGAGGCCAGCAAGTTGTTGCCCAGAAACAACAGCTTCAGAACGCTGGAGACGGTGGATCAAGTATCAAGTGATGGTCATTGTAGGGGACGAAAGAAGAAAAACCATGACAGGGACGAGCAGCAGCTGGAGGAGGAACTGGGGAGGACCAGTAAATTAGCTGCCTTGACGATTGCAGGGACACAGGAGGCTGGTGCTCGCGAGTTGCTGGACGAACTGATGCTGCACGCACACGAGACATGCATCAAAGACATGGAGAAGCTGCGTATCGACATGGACAATGAGGCAGAGAAGAAGATCAACAAGAAGGACAAGAAAGGCAGTAGTAGCAAGGTGGTGGACTTACGGTTGCTGCTGATCCAGTGTGCACAGGCCACGGCGACAGACAACCAGCAATCTGCAGGCGAGCTGCTGAAGAAGATCAAGCAGCACGCTTTGGCAACAGGCGACGCCATGCAGCGAGTGGCTCACTACTTCGCCAAGGGGCTTGAGGCACGGCTAGCTGGCAGAGGGAAGCATCTGTATCAGAATCAGATGCGCATGTCGTTGGTCGAGTACCTCAAGGTGTACAAGCTCTACATGGCAGCCTGCTGCTTCACGAAGGTGGCACTCATGTTTGCCGCCATGACAATCATGCAAGCTGTGCAAGGGAAGAAGAGGCTGCACATAGTTGATTACGGCCCGCGCTGTGGGCTGCACTGGCCAGACCTGCTCCGCCGGCTGGGAAGCAGGGAAGACGGGCCGCCGGAGGTGAGGATCACCATCGTTGACATCCTCCAGCCGGCGTTTCGTCCATTTCAGCGTATTGAGGAGGCTGGGCATTGCCTGAGCAGCTGTGCCAATGAGTTTCGTGTGCCATTCAGATTCCAAGCTGTTGCAGCAGCAAAGTGGGAGACAGTTGGTGCCGAGGACCTGCACATCGAGCCTGATGAGGTGCTTGTGGTGAATGACCTCTGGAGTTTCAGTGCTCTGATGGACGAGAGCGTCTTCTGCGACGGGCCAAACCCCAGGGATGTTGCCCTCCGTAACATCAGCAAGATGCAGCCAGACGTGTTCATCCAAGGCATCACCAATGATAGCTATGGTGCCTCCTTCCTGTCACGCTTCCGTGCAGTGCTCTTGTATTACTCGGCTCTGTTTGACATACTGGACGCGACCACCCCAAGGGATAGTGGGCTGCGGCTGGCGCTGGAGCAGAACGTTCTGGGGCCTTACGCCCTCAACGCCATCGCCTGTGAGGGTGCAGACCTGGTGGAGCGCCCTGAGAAGTACAAACAGTGGCAGGCCAGGAACCACCGTGCAGGCATGCAGCAGCTGAAACTGAGACCAGATATCGTTGATACAATCAGGGACGAGGTGAACAAGTACCATCACAAGGACTTTCTGCTGGGAGAGGACGGGCAGTGGCTGCTGCAGGGATGGATGGGACGAATCCTCTTTGCTCACTCCGCATGGGTGCGCCAATCACAAGACACTTCCTCCGGATGACTGTTTGGTTTCTTTCTTTTCTTCTTTTTCTGCATAAAAAATGCAAGTTAGTAGACTTATCTTTGGACATGAAAAGTGCATCACTCTTCTTGTGTGCACAGAATGCTACAGTGATTTGCATTTTAACAGCCAGGCAAGTTTCTTTAATTATAAACGTGTTAGTATTGTCAACATGTAGAGCATGGACACCTAGAGTAATACTTACGCGTACTTCTAGTACTTTGATTGCTCCAGTTGCAACATGGCCTGTTTATTTTTCCTTGTAAGAGCCATCAGCTGTATAATATGCCAAAAAGGAGGAGAAGGTGGGTGATGTATCCAAGCCAAGCATGGAAAACATCAAACCCTGTACTCAGCAAAATTAAAACACCACCATGCTATCAATCACCAGGAAAATTGTTGGGTATGAATGGGTTGAAGGAATTGATGCCTCCATCCTTTTCCGTCTTCTTCGGCCTTACCAAGAGCACCACAAGAAAATGCAAATTAGAAAAATGAATAATACTGGAATAGTGTTGCTGCATATTATGGTTCTATTCTGCACTTGCCTGGATTTTGCCTCTACAAACTGCAGTCTACAGACATTATGTGTTGAGTCCTTTCAACTTGAAGAATTGACTGAGTACAGTAACATAGTTCAGGGTGAAGTTGTTAAGTTGCCTTGCACCTGCCCTTTTTACAAAGATTTGACATCTGCACATATTTATCTGTCAAACAGCATGGATTGAATTTGCAAATTGCCTTTGCATTATGAGCATATACAATACCCAGGTCACAGGCTGCATCATTCACTATGTTACATGGTCCTCAGCTACATCATTCAATCAGATAAGACTGGTGTAGTTTTGGCTGCTGCCTTGTATCAATGCAATAGAGTCCTCTGTTCTCCCATCAAATTATATCTAATGATCATTGCTTCTTTTGATAGGACGAGGGAAGAAGTGGCTCCAAAACCAAGATTTGCAGATTGTTAAGGATCAAAGAAACATTGAGGAATGGAAGAGCCAAGGCATCAGTACCACAAGGCATCACTGCTCCTAGCCTATCAGATGAAAATTCTATACTATTCTTGTGCTAATACAACAGGATTCCTGGGAATACAATTCCTCAGCGGTACTGATAAACCAGCACAATTGTTACTAAGGACGTGGTTTCCAAGTTCATAGTAGAAAGTCATTTACCAGTTATCATAACAATCCTCCTCATAGAAATTCTGAACATCTGATCACCTTCTCAACATGGCATGAGTCGATACTACTGTAAACAAATAAGTTCCCCTTGTCAGGTGCAGTAGAACTCCTGAACACCCTTGCTTGCGACAGTTGCATCGGTAAACAATATGCAATGGAATCCTTGCGAATATATAATCTAACACCTGAAAATTAAAGAAGAAACAAAGAGGAAGGGGATAAAGAAAAGGTCAACATGTGACATCAATTAGTGTATGACTATTTCACTGGCAGGTTGTTTACAGGGTTTAGAAAGCAACAGGCCAGTTGGGTGTTGAGTCTAGTGAGTGTTGATGCTAATGTGCAGAAAATAGGTAGAAAGCAAACAAATATAAAGCCGCTGACACGCAAGTTGAATAGGGATGGAATTTGATGATTATAAAAAAATTCTCTTAGAAAACATAGTGTAGATATAACACTGTGGCAGCATTTTTGTCATCTTTTCTATGTGGCATTTGCTTAAAAGATCCTGGAACTACACTGTCTCATATCACACAGAATTGTATGCAAAATGACCATAGGGCATGCATGCACGTTCTCTAGTAATTACCAGGCCATCATTGCTTTGGTAACTCTTCCTCACCAAACCACCTTGGGGGATCATAACCATGACCACCTGTTTGTTGGAAAAGAAATTTAATAGATATGATATGATGCAGGTGCAGACTGCGACTGTCAAAGAAATCAAAAGAACTATGAACCAACGAAAAACCTACATACCAAGAGGATTACAATGGCATAGACGCCAAGCTGTCAAGATTGTACCCTTTGCAACGCCGTATTTTTTGTATGCTTGCATAGAGTACTGGCTGCAAGTTGGCACATAACGGCAGCTTGAGGGTAGTAAGGGCGATATTTCTCCTGTTCACATAAAGGAGAGCAAGCTATAGAGATATAGTTGATATCAAAAGGCAAGGGCGCAAGGCCAATGATTGCTGCACATAAATACAAGATGAAAACAGTAAGAATGAACTTACTTTTGTAAAATTTTAGCATGGATAGTGCCACATTGACTCCCAAGTCATTGACTTCCTCTTCTTAAAATCAAATAAAGCACAAAATGCACTCATATCGATCAGTTCTATAGTTTTACTCAGAAAAAAAAACACAAGTTTGTCTTCCATTAAAATAAAGCCCAATCTGCAATCTCCTAATCCCACAATGAATTGCTTAGACTTAGTCCTTTACTTAAGTACGAGATACATGGATTGGGAAATTTGCGCCATAATATTCCATGTAGCCTATGTACATTTTGCTAAACTGAGTTCTGTGATGACTCATTATGAACTTCTGCAGCACATTTTGCAGGCATTATGCACAGCCATTCGCAGTGTGTGAAAGCTCAAAACTTAGACACACTATTGTACCTTGAAAGTAAATGTGGTGTGCAATGTACAGCCTAGAAAGGACATAAATACTTCTACTTATTAAAAAAAAGAATTGAAATAGTAGTCCCTCATGTAAGATACATCAAAAGTTTATAACCACCTCAAGATCTGAGCCTGGGTATAAGAAATTTCACTCAAGAATAAAAAAACTGTAAAATAAAACATTTGACCGCTCCTACAATTTGCCAATCTCCAGTTACCATTAGACTAACCTTCATCAGCAGCGCAGTAGACCCGCATCGTTGGGATCCTTCTCTTGTTTTGGTAGGGAACACCGAAGGAAACTATAAATGAAAAACCAAGAAAAATAAAGAGGTGGGAGAACTCCAGTCTGTTGATGCAAGGAATGCAGGATTACACAAACAGAGAGGGTAGCGGAGGAGAACAAAAAAGATGAGGCATAATGATGAAAGAACACACAAAGTTGTTTAAACACAGTGAAATTATATGGCACTAGATAGATCATCAACTACAATTTCCTACATATATATAAGCAGGTCAGCAACGTCCCAATTAATGTTTACAGGCATCTATTGCAACTGACGGATTGTCAGTGTTGCTTCACAAAGTAATAAACCAAATTAATCAGCAACGTGCATGTGTGTGCATACTGCTAGACACAATTGGCCAATAAGGTAGCAAAGACGAGTATATAGGGGTAGTCCGGTAGATATAACAATTAGCTCGCTCACTGAATTCTTCTGTTCTTCCCATGCATCATCTTGTACTACAAGCTAATTCCATTGTCAGTTGGTTAAATATGGAGTAGTGGATAGCTAATTAGACAACATGGATATTACTAGATCAAAGACCAAGTTATCATACATATGCATGCGTTGGCTGGCTCGCCGGATGGATGGATCTAGTTTGATCTCTAGCTACTTGTTCAGAAATCAGAAGAAGGCAGCTGCTCCCGCCTATGCCGCCCGCCAACTCCAGTACCCCCGCGCCTCCCTACAGACCCGCCGCCTCCCCGTGCTGCCCCATATCTCCCCGGACCCTACGCAACCTCGACTACCACAAGCCCCAGCCCACGCCGGCGCCACACCCAGTGATCGATGCATTCCTCCCCGAGTCGGCTAGGAGCGAGAGGGGGAGGGAGACTCACGTGTGGTTCCGGCGAGAGGCCGCACAGGCGAGAGAAGGGCGGAGGCGGCCATGCCCCCGATGTCCGGTGGTCGGAGATTTTTCACAGATTTCTTCTTCTCTCTGATTTTTTTTTTTCAAAAGAGGAGTGACTGAACTGGATAAGATCGAACGTCCCTAGCTATTTGCTACTCCCTCCGTTTCTAAATATTCGACATATATTTAACCGTTCGTCTTATTTAAAAACTTGTGAAATATATAAAACCATATGTATAGATAAAAGTATATTTAACAATAAATTAAATAATAGAAAAAGAATTAATAATTACTTAAATTTTTTAATAAGACAAATGGTCAAACATATTTAAAAAAGTGAACGGCGTCGAATATTTAAAAATAGAAGGAGTAATATACTATATAATATATTTTCCAACTACCCATATATTTCTATCAATTTTTTGAAGATCTATATATTTGCAGTGATTTTAAGCAGATGTTTGTTCGATTTAAGTGTAGCTACCCATATATTCCTCTGCATAGAAAGAATCACATGAGACATACTCCCTCCATTTCAGGTTATAAGACGTTTTAACTTCTTTTAAGTTTGACTAAGTTTATAGAAAAATATAGTAATATTTATAATACTAAATTAGTTTCATCAAATCAATAATTGAATATATTTTCATAATAAATTTGTCTTGAGTTGAAAATGTTAGTACTTTTTTCTACAAATTTGGTCAAACTTAAAGCAGTACCAAAGTCAAAACGTCTTATAACCTAAAACGGATAGAGTATATAGCTAAAAGAAAGCCAATTGACCTTATCTTCTCACCAAATAGAAAAGGAAAGAAAGATAGAACCCGCCACACTCGTTGTTTCAGGTGTCGCGGCAGTGGCGGAGGTGTGGCTGATGGGCGGCGCAGGGCAAAGGAGCGATGTGGCGTGGGTGGATGGGCGATGCGGCTCGGGTGGCCTGGCCTGACGCGGGCGACCATAGCTGCATACACAACGACTACGACAATGGTCGACAACTTCCGGATGGGCGTTTTGGCGTTCCTCTCTCCTGGATGGCTATTTTCACCAGGATTGTTTAGGCTCAGTGTAGCATTTGTTCGAAAAAGTCTCTTAATATAGGCCAGATCTGATTCGTCTCCCTCAATCGTAAAACCAGCTTTATTGACTCCTCTAACTATTGATATCGTTTAAAATGACTCCCTTGGCTATTTCTAGAGCGGTTTTCACTGATGTGACATCCACGTGGCAGCCAGGTCATCACATCAAGTAAAAATATAGAGTGGGGCCCACATGTCATCCCCTCTCTCTTCCCTTCTTCCTCTACCCCTCTCTCCCCGTATCAATCTTCTTTGGTCTTCGCAACAGCGGGCGGCATCAGGGGATGGGGGTGGGGGAGGAACTCGAGGGAGCTGGATGACATCGAACGAGCCAAGGTGTCCCTCTCTCCGGTAGCATCGATATTATATTCTCATATTCCCCACACTCACGAGCGGTCGGCCACTTCCCTACACCTAGAGACAAGTTCTCCATTGGATTCTCCACTACTACGGAAACGATTTTCTATACGAGGACCCTAATAGGTTGCAGTCGGATTGTAATTGGTCGCGTCTGCAATAATTGACCTTCATTTTAGCGTGCGGTTCCTTAAGACGCCCGCATGTAAAAATCTATTTTTGCATGTGAGCCTCTTAAGGAACCGATTGCAATGAGCCTATTTTCGTATGCGGGCCTCTTAAGTGGTCCGCATGCGAAAATATCCCCTCTCCTCCAAAGATTTTTTTCTCCCCTCCTCTTTCTTTTCCTTCTTAGCAACTTGAAATTTTTTTCCACCTCCTATCCTCTCTCTCTTCCTCTCCTCTCCTCTCTTGATACTATTTTCACCTCCTCCTTCCTTCTTTCTTTCTCTTCTCTCCTCTCCTCTCCTCTCCTCTCCTCCGAGCGGCCGGGAGCAGGCGGTGGCCAGCTCGACGACCTCGGGTGGTTGTCGACGACAACAAGGAGGCAGCCGGGAGCGCTACGGCCAGGAGTTGCTGCAGTGGGCAAGGGGCTCCTCCTCCACCACCGGGCAGGAGGCGTGGCACTGACGTATCTGGCACCCCCTCTCCCTCCCGCGTGGATCCGGCTGCTGCTCCGCCCCTACACACGTGGATCCGGCGGTGGCGGGGCGGATCTGGCGCAGGCGATAACGAGAGTGGCGGCGGTGGCGGTGGCTGACGGCGGGAGTAGCGGCAGTGGCTGCGGCGACCTCGGCGGCGGCAGGCAAGGGCAATGGCTACGAGGATTTTGGTGGTGGCGGCTGCGATGACCTCGGTGGTGGTGGCCTCAGCCTTAGACGGTTGGCAAGCGTGGGGCCGCCGCTGGCGAAGGAGTGGGGAGTGGCGGGGCTAGGTTTTTTCTTTTTGAAATATTTTTCACGATTTTTTGTTGTCGCATGAGGTCGGCTTAAGCACCTGCATGTGCAAAATCGTATTTTTGCATGTGGTTGTGCTGGCCGTATGCAAAAGTCCGATTTTCGCAAAATCTTTGGGTGTAGGTGGGCTGCCCGTCAACATGCAAAGTTCGATTTTGGCTGCAAACCGAATTCTGTAGTAGTGCGCGATTCAGCGGTTCGGTGATGCCGCCAGTATGGCGGATGCTCTCTGCTCGGCTAGAACTAGTGAGCGTACGTACTCCTCTCTTCATGCGTCTTCGAGGATTATGGGTCCGTGTCCAGTGGCATCTGCAGCAAGCAGTCCTTGCCTGTCATGTCGGTCTTCCTCGTGCTCATAAGCATCAGTGATCATCTCTAGCTTGATGCATGCGGATATTGGATCGCGTAGATATATATGTACAGGACGGATGGAGTATGTCAATGTCAGGAGCTCGATCGTTCGGCATAGCCAAAGCTCGCCGGAGTATGGCCGGTGATCCATCGATCCTGGCCTTGTACAAGCAAGGGTCAAGGGGGCTGATGCTGAACCTTGTCTTCGCCGGCATGCATTCGAACTCGAGCGGCCGGCGGCGATGGAACATGCAAGCAGCTAGTCGCAGGTCATGGACCCCGAGGCATCTTCCTGATGCTGGTGGCCAACGTAAATACTGAAAAAGATCGATACGGGAGCTAGGGAGATGGCAGAGAAAGAATGAGAGAAGAAAGGGGAAGGAAGAAGAAAAATGTGGCACTGATATGTGGGTCTCACATGATGAGTCAGCTAGTTAGACTGAATCAAAGCGCCGTCAACAAAACAGCTTTCTAAAACTGCATAGAGAGTCACGTTATACTGTTTCAATAGTTGAGAGTTTAAGATATCCGGTACTACGATTTAGGGATATGAATTAGATTGAAGGTGAGAGTCAAAGTGGACTTATTCCAAAAAGATATTCGAATTTACAATGTGCTTGATAACTATCTTTTTTGTCGAGTTTCTAAGTGTTAAGGTTTTTTCCTTGTTATTATTTGGTCTGTCACTACCATCAAAAGTACCTCAAGTTTGTTAACATTAATACCGTATTGTTCATATCAAAAGGTTGTTCATTTTATTGCTAAAATTAACCCAACCAAGTTTTAACTTTACCGACGTTTGGGAACGTAACAATCTAACATTACCAATTACCAAAACTTGTTTCCACTACCAAAGTTTGGTAATTTTAGAATCTCTCTCTCCCAAAAACTTAACAAAAGTAACAAACTAAACACAACTTACACTTCTCAACCTTATCAAATATGGGAAATGCCAAAATTTGGTAGGCTAGGTTAATTTATTTATGCATCAAAGTCAATAACCCCCAATTTTGGTAAGACAGATTTATTGATGTTACGAAATTTTGATAATTCAGAGAACCGCTGAGCAGCGCCATGCTGAACTATTGATAATATCTTTGCATTTTTATAAACATAAAGTATTCAATTGTTTTCACCGAGTCTACATGAGTAGGGTTTCGGAATTTTAAAATATAAAATATGTTAATACTCCTTCCGTCCTTAAATATTTGACGCCGTTGACTTTTTTTAAACATGTATGACCGTTCGTCTTATTAAAAAATTAAGTAATTATTAATTCTTTTCCTATCATTTGATTCATTGTTAAATATACTTTTATATATACATATAGCTTTATATATTTTACAAAAGTTTTTGAATAAGACAAACAATCTAACATGTTTAAAAAAGTCAACGGCGTCAAATATTTAGGGACGGAGGAAGTAATATTCTATATGTGTAATGGTGGTTATGCATATGATGCAAGCGTTTTGGTGTTGGGAAGTGGACAAGAAAACGGTTGATCACTTTTGTCACCTCCCTTGCATGATCAAATAAAATCACTTCTCTGCCAGAACGTACTGTCACTACTAGAGAAACCATCTTTCATCGGTTGCCAAAAACAACAATAGTCCCGGTTGCTTAAAAAACCGGAACTAAAAAGCATTTTTAGTCCCGGTTTAAAAGTGCAATGATCTTTAGTCCCGGTTAGTGTTACCAACCGGGACTAAAGATCATCTTTTGTCCCGGTTTTTTTATTGGCACGACGTGGCAGGTCTCCTAATATTTTTAATCCCGGTTGGTATAAACAACCGGGACTAAAGATCAGATTTTTAGTCCCGGTTGTTTATACCAACTGGGACTACAAATCAGTTTTCCACGTATCTCTCTCTTCCATCATTCTCTCCACGCGCAGAGTCCTCGGTCCTCACCTTTATCTCTCCCTCCCCTCCACTCTTTATCTCTCCCTTATCTCTTCCTCACCTTCCTATTTCATTCTCATCTCTTCCTCTCCCCTTCCTCTTTTACATCTGATGAAGTTTTCCTCTCTTCTCTTCCTTAGATTTGCGGGAGAAGCAGCCGAGGTGGTGGCTGGGCCCGTGCCGGGGAGGGGCGGCGGCAGCCGGGCCCGTGCTGGGCGGGGGCGGCGGCAGCGGCCGCGGCCGGGCTGTGCCGGGCAGGGGCGGCCGCGGCCGAGCCCGTGCCAAGGAGGGGCGGCGGCCGCGGCTAGGCCGTGCCAGGGAGGGGCAGCGGCGGCCGGGCCCGTGCCGGAGCGACGGCGGCCGGGCCCGTGCCGGAACGACGGCGGCCAGCTCGTGCCGGAACGACGGCGGCCCAGCGCGGAAGGCCGCGCAGCGACAGCTCCATGGATTTTTTTTCTTTTTTCCTTTTCGTTGTGTGAATAATTTGAATAATTGTTTGTTGATTTGATCCGTGATTTGAGAATGATGTGTGAATGATCTGTGATTTGTTGTTGTGGATGATTTGGGATGTTTGAGATATTGGGTTGTTGCTGTGGATGATTTGGGATGTTGAGATGTGTGGATGATTTTGGGATGTTTGAGAATATTGGGTTATTGCTGTGGATGATTTGGGATGTTGAGATGTGTGAACAATATGTGATGAGTGACGTGTGAACACAAATATGTGATATTTGGCGCTAGAAAAGAAAAAAGAAAAAAATAACTTTTGTACCGGTTGGTAATACCAACCGGGACTAAAGATACTATATCTTTAGTCCCGGTTGGTATTACGAACCGGGACTAAAGATCTATTTTTAGTCCCGGTTATTTTAACCGGGACTAAAGATAGACATTTTTAGTCCTGGATTTGTAGTCCTGGTTGGAAAACCGGGACTCTAGGGGGTTCCCAACCAGAACTAAAAAATGATTCTCCAGCAGTGTGTACCTAACATGATCAAATAAACGTTGAACTTTGTATCATCAATGTTCTATCAGCAGAAGTAGTTTAAGCAAGTTTTTTTTCCTCGTAAACATTCATGGTGTCAGAACCCTGATTTTTGCTATATATGCTTTAGTTTGCAGTATCTAAGCGCCTTTTTCTGCATTTGTCCTTATACTATTAACAGATAGTCACATGGTCGTCACATCACCCCCAACAAAACCCACATGCTAATGCATGATAACATGCATGCATGTGGAGAGACTAAACAATGCAATGTATAGTCAAATGAGTCATCAAATTCCTTAATCATGTGTTAATTAGCACAATACAACATGCGGTGCGAAACTTTCGGCTCTGTGTCATTGAAAACATCTGCATGCTAGCTGATTAACATCATGCAGAGTTTGTAATTAAACATAAACATATTAATTATGTATACATATCTGCCTACTTTTTTTTTGATTATCAACATGTCTCTATCACTGTTAAGCAAATTTTCACCTGTCTATTACTAGCTGTTAATTAATTTTTTAGATCCCCTATCTGCTTATACGTCTCGATTGGGAGGCAAAATAATCCCATAAAATTAGACATGTACCAAACACTTTTGAGATTCCGAATAATATATAAGAGTTGCCGCTCCGCTCCTAAAAATTACACTAAAAAAGTGGAGTGGCATTTCTGCTACTCCTCACCTCCACTCCACCCTAGAGTAGGAGCTCTATAAAATATACCCTTTACTATAAAGACAACATTACGATATGGCACTTATACTAAGAAATTATACCATAAAATATGTTGGACTAAGGTATAAGATATTGTCTGTTTTAATTTTTTTCTTCACATGGATAAACTGTAGAAACAATTCTAATTAATTACCAGTACCGTAGTGGAGCAATATAATTTAAATCATACAAAACTATGCAATGTTAATGGTGTCTACAATATATAAAACATTTCCATTGTCTAAATTTAAAATCGTGTCTATATTCAAGTAATTCAAACTAACTATTTAATTGGACAAATGAGTTGAGTTGATATTGGCTTGTTACGTTTGGTTTGGTTTTGGTTTTGGTTTTGATGAAGACATGAAATGTTCCAAGTCAAATTTTAATTTTTTTTGAACGTTCTATCTTTTTGAATAGGAGTATATTCAGGTTATATTCACAGGAATCATATGAGTATCTAAATTTGTTTTAAAGATATAGTTTTCGTAATATCATAATTTCATCAAGACTTAGATATAATAATAATTCAAATTTTACTCTATCGGTTTCTAGATATAAGTATTTCAAAGGATTCAAAAATCGTACACAAATATAAACATAGCTAGAGTATTTGGTGTCTCATCAACCTCCACTCATTTAAATTTCTTTCCATACTAGTACATGAATAACCAAAATGACAAAACGAATGCAGTGAGATGCATGCATATATATGATTCCAGTTCAATGAACCTTTTGGATCCATGGTACTGCTAGCTCCTACTCCCTAGGTTCATGTCAGCTAGCTCCTAGGGTGTACCATTTGATGCTTCTGACTTTTTGATAGCTGGATTAGTTTAAATCACGATTATAAAATTATGATAAAATAATTAATTTTTAGAGGACAAGGTAGTTAATTACCGTGGATTACCTTGAAGAATAGGGAATCAGAAAGACACAAAGCCCTACCCCTACTCAGCCAGGACACTGGACTTCCTCGCCATCGGCTTGTGATTCATCCATCTCCTTCCCCTCGCGACTCGCGGATTCTTGCAAGCAGCGAGACTCTTACAGCTTCCAAATTCGCCCAAATTAAGCTAGCTTCGTTGGCGCTAAAATTTTTCACTATTATTGCAAGAAAGAAATAGTTTTACAAGGCAACAGTAGCACATCCGGCACAAGCACTGCTTATTGTTGAAACCCAATAATCGTTTCTAATTAGCCAAATTGCTCAAGTTCCACCCGCAATAACGCAAAGCAGAGGGATGTTCCACTTCCGAGCATCTCCTGGGCAATGCAGCATGCATATCTAGCAGCTCAGTACAGGCGTTGGACACCTTATCCCACAACAAGGCATGCATCTCTTACACAGCACCAAAAATATAGAATAATTAATTCGATTGCTTTTCTTTTTATAGGGATCAGAAGATGAGCATCCTTGGCTGGTTGCCTTTGCTTAATTTGGCTTTAATTTTTCTGGGCTAGAACCGAATACAATTCCTTTTTTCTCCATATGAAAAAAAAGAGAGATCTTAATTCTGTTACGACCGGTGTAGAAATCCTTAACACTCCATCTTTAAAATCAGTCGTGGATTAGATCCATTTTGCAAGTAACAATCTTTAACATATCCAAAAGATGCAAGAATTTCTATAGTTAATGAAGCTGACTTTGTTGATCAAGACTCTAAACCCGTGCTATGCATATATAGGCTATACAAGATTCTAAACTAATTTAATTTTATGTAGCATAATAACGTGCTACAGATCATTAATTGTATATTCTCGCAGTATATTATCTTGAAGTTTGTTATGTAGTCGAACTTTAAGGAGCTGCAGGTCACTTCAGGATCAATGGCACCCAAGTACCCAACCAAGAAGTACTACGATACAAAACTTAAAGCTTGCAGATATTAGTTAATACTACATTCGTCCCAAAATATAGCAATTTTTAGGTGTTCAGATTTATAGCTAAAAATTGCTATATCTGTGTGTTTAGATTTATAGCTAAAAATTGCTATATTTTAAAACGGAGGTAGCAGTTATTTGTTTTACAAGCGAGAGATATATTAATTATGATAGCATGATTACCAAAGTTTCTAGCTATTATTTTTTAAGAATACAACGTTATTATGATGTTCGATCCAACACGAGAGGGATCTAATAAGATCACTTTGGACAAGCAGCATGATCGATGATTCGTACGTTGGAGTATAAAGAAAGTCATCATCAGTTAATTATCTGGCTATATAAAGAGAGAGAGAGAGAGGTCGATCAATCGAAGCAAGCAATCAAGCATATGCATCCGTGGATCTAACACTACTGTATCAATTAAGTAGATTCTCTATAGCACTTAACTGCATTGTAGTACTACACTGGGTAGCAAGATGCTCGGCTAATTACTACTCCATCCGTCTCAAAATATCATAATAACTTTTTCACCTACATTATCTTCTCAATTAATCACAACCTTACACCATTCAAATTCTTACCTACTTTCTTTTCTTAATCAATCACAACCATCCTTCATTTAATCTCACATATTTTTTTAATACCTATACATAAGTCTAAAACTTCTTATATTTTAGGACATAGTTTGTGCTAGTTTAATACTACCTCCGTTTAGGTTATAAGATTTTCTAGCATTACACACATTTATATAGATGTTAATGAATCTAGGCACACATATATGTATAGATTTATTAATATATATATGAATGTGGATAATACTAGAGTCTTATATATAATATGAAACGGTGCAAGTACTAATATGTTGAGCAAATGAATGCAACAAAATTAAGGGACCCGGCACCATGCTGACCCCTATTTTGGAGACACACACGTACGCGTGGCAAGCAAATTAAACTGGTTAATTACTCCTATCGCGATCCTCATCATGGCCATGCATGGGGTAACGAATTAATTAAGCTGCTGGCTTGGGTATCTCACTATAAATACCCAAACTGGCCATGGTTTAAGCAAAAAGCTAGCTACTCGATTCATTCGCCGCTAGCTAGCTTTTGCTTTATCCTCCGAAGAGAAGAGGGATCGATGGAAGAAGTTGAGAGTAGTTATCGATCGGAGATGATGGATGGCGAGGGGTGGAAGATGATGCAGCCTAATACTAATAAGCAGCTGGTGCAGATCAAGACGAGGTCGTCGTCGATGCAGGTGGTGAAGGAGGAGATCGAGGAGGAGGAGGTGGCGGGAGGAAGAGGCCGGAGAAGAGGAGGGCTGAGGCGGTCGGTATCGGGGAGGGTGAGGGAGCAGCGCGCGCGTCTGTACATCATGCGCCGCTGCGTCTCCTTGCTCATCTCCTCCACCTTCCACGACTAGCTCTACCTCTACCTGCGCCACTATTTTTTTTTTCTTTTCCCCTTCCTTTTCTTTAGCTGCTTCTGGGCTGGGCCTTCAATTATGTACTGGGCCCGGCCCAACTCCATCTTGTTTCTTTTCTTTTCTATATGTAACTACGCTTTTTTGCTTTGTTTGCCTGACTTAGCTGGGCTGCTCTCTGAGAGATGGGCCACTGTTGTTTCGATCTGCCCATCCTGATCTGCATGCCCTGTCTGTGTAGACACATGTACCGTCCTGCTCCTTAATTTGGCAGTCAAAATAATTTGCTACAATTTGAAAGATATGGAAAGCACAGCAAAATATGCATCTAAACTTTTTTTTCCAACACCGTATCGAAACATTTCACTCTCACGCATTAATCACCTAATTTTAACGGTTAATTAGTTAATATATATAATCATGTGAGATCTTCTTGTTAATATATAATTGTAATAAATACAACGGTGTAATCGGATCAAAGTTCAGATAAGTAATTTAGAAGAACATATTTAGTTTAAGTAATTTATAGAGGAAAATAATATTTAAAGCTTCTTAATGGAGTGTTAATCAATTTGATCCTGCAACTTACAAAATATATAAATTAAAAGTCAAAGAGCCGATCGACTGACAAGCCGATGTAGCAATGCTAACCGATGTCGGTACCAGCTGATGTTGATAGAGTTTTGAGCAATCAGCTATATATGTCCAATGTAGAGACTGATACTTGAGTAAATAATAATATAAAGACAATCAGCTAATGATAATATAATATAACAATAATATAATTTACTAGAAACCAATCGGCTAATAATGATATGATAGAATAAGCGTTGATCCGAAGGTTAAAGCATACATCGCTGTAGGTCCGATGTCATTAAATCCAAACGATTAGATAAACAGTGAAACTTTTGTTCCGATCGGCTAAATCTAACTTGTATATAATCCTTATAAGCCGATGCAACGTAGGCTAGAGAGAAACCCCGATGAAACCCTTGTATATCATTATAATCCTTGTAGATAACTCATCGGCTGAAACCCCGATGAAACCCTTATATGCAATTAAAAAGTAGGCTAGAGAGTATGGTTCTAAGCACGACTTAGTTCAAGGCATATTTTATTTTCTAGTTTTTTCCAAATGAGATGAGAATATTTGTAGTCTCGATGTGCTAAATTAAATTGTTGACTGAAACTCAATAAGTCATCTTAATACTCATTGTTTGTATGCATGCATATAGTACCTTGGTTTTGTTATATGGTGGATGAGTTAATCCGTCCTTGGTCTTGGTGACAAAATAAATATGCCTTAGACTTTTGGATGAAGGGAGCATCTAGTATGCATACTCAACTAAGGCCATATATACGATGAGACCCACCTCATCTGCTAGTTTGAACCATCACTAGGATGCCCTAAGGATTATAGGTTTAAATCCAATTAGGTTATATGCTAGAGTTCTTTGAAACAAATTTCTATTATTATGCTGACGTACAAACATCCTAGAATGTAAGAATCTATGTGTCTCTATTAACACTAGAAAATAATAGGAAGTTGGGAGATTTGTCTCATCACCTTATGTCTATTTTTCCCCTTTTATTCAACAAACCTATTGGATTTGTGCCTTATGACAAAAGCTGGAGATATAAATCATTTATATTATCTTTAAAAATGAACTTAAGAAAATTTTTCAAAGGAATGTTTGTACCTTTGATTCAGTATTGGACACTTAGCAAGAATATCATAGAGAGGTAACACATGGATCGGATGTCCACCTAACATTTTCTTTTTCTTAATGAAGAACCACTAGCATGCATATTGTTCGTGGTTCCTTCTCTAGTAGTTTGGTTGATGTACATATTTATACTCTCTAAAAACAATCCAATGGTGGTGGCAGTGAATCTGTCGCCCCACCTACTCCAATAGCAATCTTTAAATATTACCCCTTTAACTTCTTAATATTACACAACAACTATATCTAAATGGATAGCCACATATAAAATTAATGTGGGTAGCCACATTTTCCTATAGGGGAAATGTGGGTCACATTTTTCCTATAGGAGAATGTGGGTCACATTTTCTCTCCTATAGGGAAAATGTGGGTAACATATTTCATGGTAAATATGATTTATTTATTTTAGAAAAATATTTTAATATTTTTTTTCATTTTATCCGTAGCAAACACAAACATTTAACTAGTCAATAATATTCATGTATTAATCGTATTCCTTCTTTCAGGGTTATAATTCAAGTAATCAGAAGGTGATTGCAAATGCTAACACAAATAGAGATACCAACAACTTGGCAATGCAAACACAAGTTCCTACTCATACTAGAGAGGGACCAACTTTCACACAACTACTACTTGGAGAGGAAGATTTTGACCTTCCTCCGTATGTTCCGGATGATGCTAAAGAGAGCAATCAGTTCTATCAACAAACAACGAATGAGTTCCTTAACATGAACCAATTGGATAACAATGGTATAGGAACTGCTCAGTTGGAATCTCGGGAGCATATGATGACATATGGCTTAAGTTCTGGTATAAGTTCACAGCTTTTAGGTTCTCAAGCAATAGACGTAGTTGATGTTGTAGGATGCCTAACTTCACCACGGGGTACCCAGCTGCATGAGGGTCATCTTGCACATCTAATGTCATATATCCGTGCATGTCGTGATCTAGAGCAACATACCCCTCCCAACTTTGTCATGCATCAATCTATTGGGCCAGTGTTGAACCACTATGCCCTTAGTGCAGAGATGTCATATTCCATGAGATATCCAGAAAATGCAGCTACTCGTGGACCTCAAAATATTCTTGGGTTTCCTATAAAAAATGCAGACACACGCACAGAGAGAGACACACACAAACACATGTACACACACCCAAACACAGACACATGCATGTACACACACACATAAACGCACGTATATATGTAGATGGTGAACCGCAACTTCTTCATGCTCATCCACTACGTCCATCGCAGGCATGTCCTAGCCCGCCTCCAAATCCTACTCGCCGCTCGCGGTCCTTATATAGTCTTATTAATTTTTACCTAGCTTGCATTGTTCAATACATCATCTACTGATCGATCAGCTAGCTTGTTTTGGACAAACATATATCTGTATAATTTCTCATAAGCAAGTATTGAGTTGATTCATTCAATTCATTGATCGATTCAGGTGTCCAATCGCTGCTGCATGCACAGAGGAGGCGCCTGCTGGCTCTTCTCACCCCGTCGCTCTACTACTTGGGTTAATTACAATCGACAAACTACTACCTAAGCTAGCTAGCCGCTGGCTTTCCTTCATTTTACTCCCTCCGTTCCATAATATAAGGCACAACCACTTTTATTAGATATTCCATAATATAAGACATGCATGCAAGCATGCAATTAACTATGGCATCTTCTCTATTAAATTATTACTTTTTTAAATCCTCCACTCTCATGTTATCTAATCCTATTGGATGCATGTATTATATTTATTAGGATGATTCTAAAAAAAACTACAAGATGATAATAATTATTTATTGATCTTTGGGTTAAGGGTGGTTGTGCCTTATATTTTGGAATGGAGGGAGTACCATGCATGCTGTAACTGCGATTCGTCAGTCCGGTGATGTTATACAATCACAATAAGTTTATCACAACTATAGCACACAAGCGTTTTAATTTTAGGAACAATTCCAATTTACCCCCTTAAAACTATTGCGACAGTATAAATTACCCCCTCAATTAAAAACCAGATATTCTTCACCTTCAACTTTTCATACCGGATGAATTACCCACCGACGGACTCAGGAGCGGTTTTTGTTGTACGTGACGCACACGTGGTAGTCCAATCAGCATAAAAAATATAAAAGGGTAGGGCCCACATATGGTGACTGAGAGAAGAGGTGGAACTGACAAGTGGGTCCCATAATTTTTTATTTTTCTTATATTGATTGGATTGCCACATGGACGCCACGTAGGATCAAACCGCTCCGAAGTCAACTAGGGGGTAATTCGTCCGGTATGAAAAGTTGAGGGTGAATAATGTCTGGTTTTTTTGAATTGAGGAGGGTAATTCAAACCTAAGAAGATGTCATAGGGAAAATATATACATATTATATGTGCTGATTTTTCTAAAAAACCGGCACTTAAGCAGCAATGCCATAGGTACCAGTTTTACTAAAGAACCGGTACATATATATACTTACAATTTTGCTATATATTTATCGACAAATTTTTCTCAAAAAAAATGACACTGTAACTTGCATGTAACTACAATGTAACTTATACGTAACTAATTTTGAACCATTAGATTTCTTTCAAGATTCGTGCAAGTCATGAAGAAGGAAAAACGTCACGGCGCGCGCACATGTGAGAGGATTTGTTCCCACAACCTCCGTTTCACCGAAATAGCATGTTATGTAATTTTTGAAAGTCACATACAAGTTGTTACATGCAACTTACAGTGTAATTAAATCACGATTGTCAAATTGTCTAGTAGGTGTTGGTTCTAGAATTTCGGGCACTTTTAGTGCCATCCTTTTTTTTGCTGTGATACTACGTACCTGGTACTAGCTTGGAGTATATATCTGCTGGTATACCGGCCGGGCAGTTGAGAGTAATAAAGATGGAGTAGGTAGGATTTGCATTGATATATAGATAGGCATAGGTAGTATGATTAATTGATGGAAGAAGAAGATACATCCAGAATACGAGTACATTAGTGAATGAGTAGTTAGGATGGTTGGGGTGGGCAGAAGGTGATGAGGTAGCGCTTGGCGTGACAACGGTTGAGGCTGGTGGCGTCGTCGTAGGCGTAGCTGTACGCACGAGGGCAGATGGCCTTGAAAAGGTGGGAGAAGATGGTGGGGCGGCACGCCGACGGCGAGGCGTAGTCCCCCGTGCAGCAGTAGCGGTCGCCGCCCATGGCCCTGCAGGCGCTCCGGCAACCCGCCACCCTCCCTTCCCTGTCCCGCACCTCCAGCGCCGACGGGCAGCACACGTTCACGTCCGCCCCGCACGCCGCCGTCCCGCACCCCACGCCTCCCCCCACCGCCGCCATCGACACCGGCGCGTTGAACCCGTCCACCAGGCTCACGTCGTAGAAGTGCATCGCCGACGCCGACGTCCCCAGCGTCATCTCCACCACCGTCGCGGGAGTCGCCCCCGCCGCGCCGTTGCACCGCAGCACGCCGCCGCAGTCGCCCGTCGCGCAGCTGCCGCGCCCGCGGGAGTCGAAGCTGCAGCCCCGCCGCGGCCACACGCGCCCCGACCACCCCGCCGGCACCTCCAACGCCGCCTCCTCGCCGGCGCCCAGGTGGAAGCCGCCCGACTGCGGCGTCGGGTGCCCCGCGGTGCCCAGCAGCCCCGGCCACACCGACTCGCCGCAGTTGTTCACCATGATCAGCTGGATGCCGCCATTCCCTCCTCCTCCTCCACCTGCAACTTCATCCCTCATAATTAATTAGCTACCAATTCAAACGGATCATGCATTTCTGCTTGTTTAACTGCCATGTACGTACAAGCTGTGATTGCCATGATGAGGATGGCATTGACGACGAGCAGCAGAGGAGTGGCCATCAACTCAATTAACTGCCAATATATAGCTAGCTTAGTCGCTTGATGCAACTGATGATCACTAGTCTGTGGGGGGAGGCCAGCCAACATATATATAACCTGTCAACACTGACTATAAAAATTATGCAGAGGGAGCTAGCCTCCCTAGCTACTGAAGCTAACTGACTTGTTAGCTTACTTCCTTTCCTGTAACTAACACCTGGGACATCCATCTGAAGCGAATAAACATACTACTCCCTCCGTTTCTAAATGTTTGACACCGTTGACTTTTTAGCACATGTTTGACCATTCGTCTTATTCAAAAACTTTTGTGAGATATGTAAAATTATATGCCTACATAAAAATATATTTAACAATGAATCAAATGATAGGAAAAGAATTAATAATTACTTAAATTTTTTGAATAAGACGAACGGTCAAACATATGATAAAAAGTCAACGGCGTTAAACATTTCGAAACGGAGGGAGTACTATCTATTTCAGTTTCATGTGTTCCATAAGCCACAACACGTTGCTGCCATAATTCTGTCGACTTGTTCGTACTACCACTAGCAATGTCTACATGCTCAATCAGCAATTTAGGCACCACTATAGGCTACCTGATGACTGTGCTAGGCTGCTGTAACTCAACTTCACACCTGGCTTCAGTTAATTAGCTTACTGACCTGACCTGCTCTTCACATCTTATTGCACATTAATTTTCAGTTTTTCACCTATGTGCAGTGCAATCAGCTAATCGGATGCCTGGCGACCAAATCAGTGCGAGCAGAGTAGCGCAGCAAACTCCAAAGGCTGCAAATTACTACTAAGTACCAACTTTAATTTCACTTTCTTCCTTTTCCTTTGGGGATTGCGATCCATCTCTCAGCAGGTACTACGTCAGGATCTATTCCTTGCTTTGCGCTGAGGTTTCTCGCTTTGTACTTGTGCTGCGCAAATGCATCATCAACCGCATGCTACTAGAGTATTTATATATCTCCTCGTCCTCGATCGTCATTTGGATAAGGAAAAGAATTTGACAAGTCGTAGCCGTAGCCCCAGTTGCAATCTCCTTCTCTTTTGCTTTTGTTCTCTGCTTTTTTTTCACGATCTCTATCCTGTGAATGCCGCTGGGGTCTATGATCTTTCATATGCATATGTAATTCATCAGAAAGCAAAGCATGCATGTATGCTCTGTTCAGTTGCTTTCCAAATCAGAAAAGGAGTCCTAGTCGTCTAGCTCGATCACTGAGTCACTGATATGATTTTTCTCTACATATTCACACCAAAGCCTGAAGATACATTTTAACCAGACCAGTCACATATATCGCTTCTTCTTGTTGATATACATTATGCTCAACAGTATTACAATTTTATATTTGAAATATGCTGCACACAGACTGTTTAAACTTGAAATAATTGAGCAGCACGCACAACACAAATACATGGGCGTGCTTTTTAGCGAGGACCGATATTACAGAACGAATATAAAATACACAAAATACGTACATCAATTTGTCTGATTAGCTACAGTAAACGAATAATGTTAATCTCCTTATCCCAAGTTAATGCTTTCAGTGGCTAGTTCACTTTCATTGTGACTTGTGAGATCATTTCGTCTCCTGAATACATGTGCATACTCCACTATCCTTATCTTCCTCTGTATTAGTACGTATCATCGTCAAATTGATCTGGCTTTTAATCTGCCGCTGCCAAATAGACATCGGCTTATTGCTGATCTCTTAACTGTACCGTCAGTGTGGAAGGGAATTACTACTGAAATCGGGCTCCAGCACGGATGGTCACTAGACCTGCCAGGATTTTTGGACATATCCAAGTGAAGTGCTTTCATCATGTTGAAGCATTCCTTCACCTCATGGTCCTGCAGTTAGTTTAATTAACACCATCAGTTAACTCTATATGTTTTCCAGACGGGTAATTTTACCATCATTGAAAATGTACAGAAAGATATCACATTTTCTAGTATAAAATTAATTTGTTACCTCCAGATATTAAATATCTCGAGTTACCAAAAGTTTTAGTTTAAAATTTAGATACCTCAGGGTACTTTTTCAAGGGTCGTAAAATTTCTTTTCCTAGACACTAGTACTATGCCCGTATATTGTAACATGATCTAGAGTAATAGGGTGGAAGGGGTGTGTTGGTTTGGTTTTTTATCGGCGCTGTGCGCGGTATGGGAGGGGGATGGGTGGACCGGTTCGGTTTTTTACAGGCGCCACATGCTATAGGGAGGGAGGAGAACAACTGAGTGTTTAAAGTAGTAGAGAATAGAGATAGAGAAGAAAAACTTTGTTGTATATGTATTGGAGAGTTTGTTTAGAATCATTGTCCCATGCAACATATAAAGCAACCTTACCCTAGATTTGCATCATAAAAAGAGAATATGCAAATAAACAGAGTAGCTAGTGTCCTGTTCACAATATTGTAACAGAGCATTACGGTCGGATGTGAATATGTAAACAGAGTAGTCCAGCATTTGCAGATGGCGACTTGGGCAGTGAATGATGAATCACGAACGCAAAAATAATAGTAACAAATGGGTAGAATATTGTTGAAGTATATATAGGGTAAGAAATTAATTAAGGTACGTACCGTCTGGGAGAAAGGATGAATGAGGCGGTTGAGGAGGAGATGATTGGGGTGTTGTGGTGTAGTAGAGGATAAAGTAAGAGCAGAGGCAGCAAGCAGCGAGGCATCAAAGCGGAGAAAGGAGGGATCCAAGAGGGAGCGGAGGAGGAGGGCCCTAGTAGTTGTAGTAGTAGTAGTAACGGGGAGGAAGGAGAAAGGGGTGACGCAGGCGAGGCGCCAGCGGAGAGCCTTGAGCAGCGTGAGCTCCATGTCCCGGATGGTGGACGCCCGGAACGAGTGCCCCATCGCCTCCTCCATCTGTCCTCCACACAACACATGCATCCATCCTTCAGTTCACTTCGTATCGATCGATGTATATGAATATATGATATGAATGCATAGATATGATATGAATATGAATGCACCGAAAATTAAATGAAATGAAAATATACGTATAGTACCTGAAGGTCGTGGAGCGAGGGGATGGTGACTTCGTCGAGCTTGCAGGCGAGGGACAGGCACCCCACGCTCACCACTTCCACCATCCACTCCTCCCACTTCTGCCAATATTAATTGGCAATGCATACTCAGTTACTAGCTAGAGGAGACGTACCACTACTACTAACTGAGTACTCCGATTTGATCGATAGATTTACCAACCAAATGGCAATTGATGGAGAGGAAGCGATCCAGATAGTTGGCTGCGTTGAACGCCGTCGCGGCCTCCAGTCCCAGCCTTCCCATTGCCTGATCATTCATCATCATATATCAATCTTTCGATTACAAATTAAAAATTTACACAACACAAGAGCTAACAACAATAATTATTTATTTTGCACATCAATAATCTATCTCTTAGTGTCTAGATATCACTATCTATCAGAATGTACAGATCATGGAAGAATATATAGCTAGTTAATTAATAGAGAGAATGATCGGTCGATACAAGTCGAGAATCTGTACATACATAGATGATGTAACGTACGGCTTTGAGCCTGGCGGCCGCCACACCATGCTGCTGCTGCTGAAGAAGAAGATGATGGCATTGCAGGTAGCAGCAGTAATCTCTGATCTGAAGAGCGTAACACCTCTGCTTCGCCTTGTAGTACTCCATCACCTCATCATCAATATCATCTGGCGTCGTCGTCCCAGCTTGTTGCTGCTGCTCCGGCGGTGGCGGCGGCGGGGGGGGCGTAGAGTCGAAAGGGTCCTCATCGCAGTAGAGATCAAGAGAATTATTGAAACTAGTATCGTCGTCATCATCCATGCTTGATCGATCTACCGCCCGCCGTTCACCGTCTCTTCTTCATGAATTAATTCTACCTAGCTAGCAGCTGCATATGCGATCGAGATGCTCCCTCCCTCCCATGGATTATATACCTACCTAGCTATATCTAATTAATTAATGATCAACAAGCTAGAATGTATATAGCCACCATGCAATATAATGGTTGTGAAGGAGACGCAGCAAGCAAGGCGAAGGCAAAGGCGGGCGGCATGATCGATGATGATATATCGATATATATGGAGACGATCGACGCACACAAGATGGAGTGAGCCGTGAGCGAGCGTACGTACGTGCGTGCGTGAGGAATTATACAAGGCATGCATGCGTCCGTGCGTGCATACGTTGCCTTAAAATTAAAACCGGCCGCAAGAGCTAGCTAGCTAGATCCAATCCAGATCGACGTGCACATGCACATGCACGCCTCACCTGTTCATGCATGCAAATGTTATATGCCCAAACTCGTACCTAATAATTATCTAGCGGAGTTTTTTTTTGTTTTTAACAATTAATACTAGAAAAAAATACCCGCGCACTGCAATGGTTGAAGGGAGAGTGGATTTTAATCCCTCAAGAGATGTTCCCTCGTTATTTACATGTCAATCAAATAGTTATGAATTTTTTTTAAAAAAATGTGAAGATGTATTAACATGTGATATATCACTCAACAAACATGCAACTTCAAATTCAACTTTCACATCTCGCAGCAATTTTTTTTCGTTGCGAGATGTGGAAGTTGAATTTGAACTTGCATGTTTCTGGAGTGATATATCATATGTTAATACATCTTCACAATTTTTTCATAACCATTTGATTGACATGCAAACAACGAGCGGACATCCCCTCGAGGGATAAAAATAGTTTCCCGGGTGAATGCTATTTTAATCTTATTATTGTTATACAAAATTCACTCTAAGAATTCGCTTGGATATATATTTTTCTCAAAAATCATGAGCTGCAAAAAAGAGTCCGATCATTTTAAGTTAGCATGCAAGTTTTTTTTAAAGAGATTTCTTATATGGCTCATGTATTTCCAAAAGCGAACGAACTTAAGACCCCACTCAAATGCGGATATGTATTTTCAAAAGTGAATGCACTTAAAAACTGACTCATACACGGATGACGTACCAAAATACCGACAAAAACATCTTCAATTTTTTTAATAGTAGAGATATTAATTTTTCCGTCATGCTAGATTTTTCTCCCAAGCCAAAAAGTGTGTTTTTTTTTTAATTCTGATCCGCCAATATAACCCCCCTCTATTTCACAATATAAGGTGAGGTGCTTTAGTTTTATCCTCAACTTAACTTCTTTTTAGGTTTAACTAAGTTTAATTTATAGGAAAAACATTATAATATTCTAAAAGCCAAATAAATATATTCGATAGTGGATCTTAATAGAATTGATTTGATGTTACGAATGTTGTTATATTTTTCTATGTAATTAATCGAACTTAAAAAAAGTGACTTTAAGACTAAATTAAAACACTTTACATTCTCAAATGTAGCTGGATATATATATATATACACACACACACACACACACACACACACACACACACACACACACACATATATGACACTATATATATATATATATATATATATATATATATATATATATATATATATATATGAGGGTTGAAAATATATATTACGGGCGATGAACAGTACTGTGGACTCTTTTCTCTGTTAAATAGAGTATATATTGTCATGTTCTACATTAGGACATACAGTTATATCTGTCCATCCATACTGTGAAAGATTGCAAAGGGAGCAAACGCATGATCAATGGATGTATGAGCCAACATGCATGCATCTACACATTTGTGGCTGGGCGGCTATAGCGCCCATATAATATTCAGTCGGTCGCGGCCGGTTGATTTGTAGATGTGTGCTGTGCATGCACGGATGGGTGCCTTAATCAATTTGGATGTGAATGCATGAATTTAATTAAATTTCTACCTAACGAAAGATGCAACATATATATACTACGTACTGTTACATGTATAAATATATTAGTAGTAGTATATACTTGCATGCATGAGGAGGAGTTATGTTGGAGTGGTCCATGGCAACACTGTGTGCATTCAATTCGATCATTCGTACTCATACGTATATGCGTATGTACTAACGCCCCAGACACATACAGTACAAACATACATATACATAGCTAGTACTATCTCCGTTTCCTAATATATAAAAACGTTAATTTTTTCACAAATATTTAAACATTCATCTTATTCAAAATTCTTGTGTCAATATAAAAAAAAATAAGTTATGCTTAAATATCATTTGATGATAAACTACATCACAATAAAATATAAATAATAACCACGCCATAATAAAATATAAATGATAATCATATAATTTTTTTAATAAGATAAATAGTCAAATATATTTTAAAAAGTCAACAACGGTGTATATATATATATATATATATATATATATATAGAGAGAGAGAGAGAGAGACACACACGTACAGAGTACTGGGTACTATATCCATCCATGGATGCATCCATCACACGGCCGGCCAGTTGTACCCCATGCACATGACCACTGTAATGACACGATGACACTTAATTAGATACTCTATTTATTAATTTACTTAAAAAAGTACCTTTAGCTAATTGTAAGGCATCATCAGTAGTCTCTCTAAACATACCCCAACTAGTGGTATATATCGATATAGTAGTATATATACTATCTTGGTTTTATATGACACCGTTGTTTTTTAATATGTTAATTTGATTATCTATCTTATTTAAAAAATTAATATAAATATATTAAAGTATAAATTATTATTTTTCTTAATAATAAAATATGTTGTAACAAAATAAATAATATTTATATATTTTTAATAGGATGAATGATTAAACATCATGTTAGAATTTAATGACGTTATCTATATCTATATCTATATCTATACTATTATAAAAATTGAAAATATTTTTGTCGGTATTTTGATATGTCATCTATGTTTGATTGGTTTTTAAGTACGTTCGTTTTTAGAAATACATATCCGTATTTGAGTTGGATTTTATGTTTGTTTGTTTTTAAAAATACAAAAGGAGTCGTATAAGAAATCTCTTTAAAAAAACTTGCGTGCTAACTTGAGATGAAAGTCAGGCTCCTAATTGCAGCTCAAGATTTTCTAAAATAAAAATCCAAGTAAATTCCTACAGTGAATTTCATCCTAGCTAAACCGTATAACAATGATAAGATTAAAATAGCACTCATCCATTGTAACGTACGAGTATTTTTTCAAGTCTATTGAAAAGGAAGTAGGAGAACTGACTTGCTCAGTTAGTTACGCTAAATTATTTTTTCATCATCGTGCGGATTATTGGAGATTAATTGAAGAACGCGCGGCATTAATTCGTAGAGTAGTATTCATAGGGTACGTACAACGCCATTGAATAATCTGACAGTAGCAGAGACAAGTTCAGTCTGTACAGTGAAGTGCAAAGCTTCTCTTAGACCCTGAATTCCAACCTTTTTCTTTAAATTTTTAACTTTTTCATTACATCGAACTTTTTTACGTACACAAACTTCTAATTTTTCTATTACATCGTTTCAATCTCTTCAAACATTTAATTTTAGTGTGGAACTAAACACATCCCCTTATAGTAGTAGCCGTATGTTGATTAGAGAGACAGCCCAGGCCGGCTCCTCATGATTGAGGAATAAGTCTACTTTGTCTCTCTCAAATTTACGCCATCCAATCTAATTTGTATCTCTCAATCATAATACCATATATCTTAAGCACTCAATTATTAAAACCGATGCAAAATAACTCCCTCGATAATTTTGAGGATGGTTTTCGCTGACGTAGCCGGTTGACCTAGGCCAACCATTGAGGAAGTAAGTAGGGACCCACATATCATACTATTTCTCCTTCCCTTCCTCATCCCTCCTCTCTCCCCTTCTGTTCCTCCTCTCCACAACGATGGTGGCTGGCGGCAAGTTCCCATTGGGACGAAGCGGAAACCGGGGGCAGTTGTTGGCAGCTAGCACAACAGAGCCAAGGAGGACGGCGGCTTGACCTCACGGAGGCTTACAGAAAGGTTGAGGGGAAGGTGGAGGGGCGATAGCAAGGTGATGGCGGCGGAGGAGTGTAGCGCCCGTTCCGTCGTGGCGCCTAGCGGGAAAATTATCTCTTAAAAACCCTATCTGCGAAATTTGTTTCTTTGATTGTTGTCTAGTGTCCGTGCCATCTCAAGATCTCAATCCCCGATCTATCGTCGAGTTCAAATCCGAATCCAAATCCTTCCAAATCGATTCCCTCCGCAAAGTTTAGTTTGCCTCCCCCGGGGTTCGATGGGCCGAATTCCGCTCGGCCCATCTCTCTCTCTCTCTCCCGGGCTCTCTTTTTCTCTCTCTCTTCCCCCCCCCGGCGCGCTCCTTCCCCCCTGCTCAGCCTCGCCCGCGCGCTGCTCGCGCGTGCGAGAGCCGCCCCGAGCGTCTCTCTCCCTCGCTGCCGCTCCCCGCGTGCCGTTGCTCACGCGCGCCCGCGCTGCCGCCCGGTCCCGCCAGCCCGCGCCTGTCGCCCGAGCCGCGCCGTTCAAACCACCGCGCCTCCCGCTGTTTTCCCACGCGCGCGGCCGACCGCTCGGTCGCCGCCGTCGTCAGCGCCTGCCCGCGCCTGTCGCCAATGTCGCCGCTCCGCTCCAAACCGCCGTCGTCATCGCCGTCGTCATCGCCCGGCCCCCGCCACTCCGCGCGCAAGCCGCCAAGGGACGGAGGCAGCGCCCCCCCTCCCTCTGCCGCGTCGCCCCCGCTCCCCTCCTCCTCTTTCCCAAATCGACAAAGGGGCAAGCCCCTTTTCCCCTTTTCCTCCCCGCCGGCGTCATCCTCCCTGTCGCCAATTTGGCCGCTAGCCGGAGCGCCAGCTCGCGCCTTGACCGCGCAAGTCGGTTCTCAAACCGACATTGCCGTCCCCTTTAAACCCCCGGCCTCCCCTTACCCCTCCTCTTCCATTCGTCTCCGCGCCATAGCCGCCGCCCCGTGCTCTGTCTCACCTCCGCCGTCCTTCGCCGAGCGCCGGGAGAGCCGGTGCATTCGAGGACGCGGAAGGGGACTTCGGCCGCGCCCTCTCCTTCCCCTTCCCCGGCCCGAGGCCGGAGAGATTACTCACGCGTCGTCGGCCTCTCGTCACAGCGCCCCTCCTCTTCTCGGTGATGTCTCTCTCCGTTCCCCCTCCTCGCTCCGTCT